TGCTGTTGCTGTTGCTGTTGCTGTTGCTGTTGCTGTTGCTGTTGCTGCTGTTTGTTGCTGCTGTTTGTTGCTGCTGTTTGTTGCTGTTGCTGTTGCTGTTGCTGTTGCTGTTGCTGTTGCTGCTGTTGCTGCTGCTGCTGCTGCTGCTGCTGCTGCTGCTGTTGCTGTTGCTGTTGCTGTTGCTGTTGCTGTTGCTGTTGCTGTTGTTGTTGTTGTTGTTGTTGTTGTTGTTGTTGTTGTTCTTGTTCTTGATCTTGTCCTTGTTCTTGTTATTGTTATTGTTCTTGTTCTTGTTCTTGTTATTGTTCTTGTTCTTGCTGGTGGTGGCGGTGGCGGTGGTGGTGGTGGTGTAGGTGTTGGTGTTCGTGTTGGTGTTGGTGTTGGTCTTGGTATTGGTCTTGGTCTTGGTGTTGGTGTTGGTGTTGGTGGTGTTGTTGGTGTTGTTGGTGGTGGTGCTGGTCGCGGCGGTGGTTGTTGTCGTTGTGGATGTCGTTGTTGGTGTTGTTGCTTTTGGTTTTCAAGATGCGGTGACGTCAGGGCGAGATGCAGATGTACATTTGCTGCTTGCTGCCCCGGTTGCTTGGCAGCCAGAAGCGAGTGTGCTGGCCAGCTTTGTTCTGCCCACCTTGAAAGGAATAACTCTCTTTCAACAGGCTTGCAAGCATTCCGTTCACATGCTTTCCTTTTCATAGCCTGCCTTGTCACCAATGCTAAAACTTGTCTCAAGCACTCACCGCAGTGGTTGAGTGGTTGAGTGGGTGATTTGTTGTGGGTGCTCTCAGAAAGCACCATGCAATTTTAGGCTCGTTTTGGTCGGAGCCATTGCAACCCCAAGGTTCTGGCCCTTGCGATGGGTTTGGCGGTATCGCATGTGTCAGGCGCTGAGAGGGCTCAGGGCTGAGAGGGGGGCTGGCTGTGGTTTGACTCACAAGGCTTCCCGAAATAGGTGAAAAACTTGTTTTGATGGCAATGGAAGTTGCGTATCGCAGATGATGCATTGAAACCAGTGCTTTCGAGTCCTATTTACTTTCTCCGTTTCCGGGAGTTGGGACTGCAATAAGAAAGTTCTTGTAATGAATCTGCATATGCAAGTGCAAGCTCTCATTTTATCCAGACCTTTGCTGTACCGTTTCATTGACGCTTGGGCGCAACGGCTTTGACTTGAGAGCTCCCACTCAAATGATCCACTTGCTTCTATACTATATTCTAACTCACTCGCAGCAAATGCTGGAGTAGTGAAGGAAGCATGTACATTAAATAGCATGCCCACGAAAATAATGCAAGTTTCTCTTTTCGAGGTGTCATTTTGCAACTAGAAGTGTGAATTGCTGAAGTTACCACAGGAATGAGCAGCTCTTGATTTGGCCTCACAAAGTTAACCAGCCTACACCTGCAGAAGAAAAGCAAGCAGACTTGTGAGTACGATGGAGGGCTTGGGGACATGGGTCCTGAAGCTAGCGAGCACTGTCTTGACATTGCACTCATAGGGTTTGAGGTTTCTCCAAAGCCCCATGGGTATAGGATACGATGCCTGGGTCAAAAGGAGTGGTTTGGTCACCTAGGGACCTGGGCAAGCCTGCTGGAGGATGAGGAGCACAAAAACGCCGCTCGAGCGGCAACCCGGAGGTGACCCTGTTGCGATTTGGCTTGACCAAGAAAGATTAAGGATGTCCGGACTCTGATTTCCTCTTCAGAGAGGTTATGAGGTTGCTTGTCCGCTTGAAGTTGCGAAATGATGGCTTGCTGATAGCCCCAGTAAATATGGCCCCAAAGATTCAGGTGCGAAGACTTCGGGTGTGGCTTGGGGCAAGTTGCTTGTTTGATTAGACACCTCATGCAAGGGCTCCAACAGAGCCTGCGAGGTGCACATCCTTTCCTCGACCACCTGGCCAGCTGATTTTTTCCACAGGATGTTCCGGCCCAAGTAAACCTATTGTCCACCTTTGTGTATATGTGTGTGCTCATGCGTGCACTACCCGGAGACGCCGTGTGCCTGAGGACTATTCACAACGACGGCAGGGCGCACACAATGGTGGTCGAAGACCTAGACCTACACCTAGAGTTTTCGACAGGTTCGCCATGGGCTTTCCTGCATGGAGCCAGAGAGATGGACATAAGCGGTCTCCAGAAGTGATCCTATGTCGGTTAGGATCACTTGGGGCATGCGGAAGAAGTGCACGCCCAGGCGTTCCACACTGTCATTGGGCGCATTTTTGCCACGGTCCAAACACTCTTTGATTGGGAGTACATTATATGGCAGGGGTGGTCATAAACTTGGCCCCGCAACAATTTATTGAAGAGCTATCCGCACCGTGCACGTAGCGAGTTTAATGGCATATGTGAGATGCTAGCCGATTCCCCTTGAGAGTCACTCTGCAGATCCGTAACACCGGCGAGATTCTGTGGGTCAGGGCCCCGGCAGTGCCCGCAAGTTGCAACTCGGATTTTCCGCAAGCAGGCTGAGGTGACTCGGGGTTGACTGGGAACATCTTAGCTCCAGTGAGGAAGGAACGCTTTCTCAGAGGATATTTGCTACTGTTCAAACTAAAGGCACTGTACAGTCAATGTCAACCTTGCCAAATTGCATGGAGTTGTTTCCAACATGCGGTTTGTTCTCTGGGCTCCTTTTGGAAAGTTGGGGAGTAGGCCGCAGGCAAGGAAGTGAATTTGCTGCATGCCAGGAGCTTCATATATACATATATATATATATGTATATATAGACGTCATATCTTCTCGGCCTTTTGGCTATGACCAAGTGTGGTATTTGTTCTTGTCAGTGTGACAGCTGATATGTCTCTAGAGACTTGCTTGTCACATCATGTTCTGTCGAAGAAATGTCTTCCTGAGCTTGCTCGGAAGCTTTCACGTGTTGCGCTGGCATGGCATTGGGGAGCGGAGATCCTGTGGGGTCACTGCTTGTCTTTCACCTTTCTGAGATGCTGCTGGCGTGCTACTGGCGTGCTGGTTGGCGTGGGCGCAGCTGTGCTTGCCAGGCCTTGCTCAGAAGTGCAACTTAGAGGCAGGTTTTTGCCAGCCACTGTGGTTGTGCGCTGCGATGAGAGTTCAGACCATGTTTTAGCCATTGCTTCAGGCATCATTTTGCCTCCCTCTTGACCATCCTTGCGGCAGGGGCAATAGCGCTACCAGTGAAGCTTAGCGGAGGTGCGCAGTTTACTAGTTGAGAACTACTCCATTTCCCGACAAGTTTGATCGTCACGGTCATTCTTGCAATTTTTATGCGGGCTTTGGCTCAACTGCCACAATTTCGCTGCTGTCCTGGCTCGTCAGCGTCAGCTGGCTGCTGTTTTTTTTTTTTTTTTTTTTTTTTTTTTTTTTCTTTTTTTTTTTCGCTTGCTGGTGCTATTAGCTAAAGCGTGTCTTTGCTGCTCAGAGATGTTGTTTGATGTGCGTTTGATGTCAGTTCGTTTTCTAGCCAATGCAAACTTACCTTGCTAGTGTTGGGCTGAGATCCAGCAGCTCGCTTTCATGGGGTCGGCAGTTCACAGCACTCTGAGGCCTGTAACGCCTTCGGAGTCTCCGATGGAGTCATCCATAGCGGAATTTCTCAAACTATCCACAAACCGGGTACCCTCAAACGTTCGGCGAAAACTTCCCTCGCTGCATGTGCCGAGGCTGGGCATGACAGGTTCCAGGAAAACCTGCAAGAGAGAGCTCGGCCCTCAAGCCTTAAGCTCCAATGCTGGCCAGCACTTCAAGTGTCAGACTTCACCGGATTTTCCTCTTTTGGATGGTTGAAAAGAACACCAGGAGGGAGAAGTAGTCCACGAGTCTGCCAGATTTGCAACTTTTCGCACATTTGACAGAGTTGAGTCACTGAGTCACTGAACACATTCTACACAGTTGGCACATTCCGAAATGTTGGAGCTAGTTTGATCCGTCTCTCTGGCGATGCTCTGATTGTTTTCTTTGCGCATAGGCAATATGTCGAGAGTGCCGGGCTTTGAAGGGTTGACCTGAGGAGATGGTGAATGTAGTGAACGAGGAATGCAAGTCAGCAGCCTCAGTCGCCAGTGGATGGAGGCAAAGTTGTGTGGACTGGCATTGGCTAGTATACTTGCTGACATAGAAATTTAATTTCCACGAGGCTTCGTCCATATAGATCGCGCCATCAAGCGCACTATAGCTATCATATGATGATGGGACATTTTGTGGCTTGCATAAGACATACTCCATCTGCCATGATACAACAGATCGACTCACTGTGCGCGGGTACATTCCTACAGGCCTAGGACATGTGATATCAGACGGGCGTGTATTTGACTAGGGACCGCCAGAATGGAAGTGTTCCGTTCGGTTTCGCTTGAGTTACCGCCCCCCAAAAAGGCTACCCTCCACCCTCCCACAATGTATATGTCACTTCAGGCAGCGTGAAGATGCCAAGCTCCTCGAGGGTGGTGGCGTGGAAGCGATTGAGTCCTCGCAGGAGACATGAGGGTAAGGTTTTCTGGGTACCCCATATTTTGGATTTTCCCTAGAGGATATCTAAAGGGTTTGATTACTTTTAATGTTGCAGAACCCTGTTTTGCAAAGCTGGGTTCTCCCAGTTTGGGCGATGGCCTGTGTGACAAATGGGGGGACCCCCGGTTCAGCACTTGTCAGCTTGCATGGTCTTATTTGTCAGATTGAATGCTGCCAGGACAGCGATGTCGCTGAGGATCCAAAATGAGCTTTTGCAGCAGCAGCTTGCAAGACAAAGCATGTTTAGCATAAGTCGACCTCGCAGTGGAGTTTGATTCCATGTTGTATTGGCATCAATGCACGTGTCAGGCTCTGAGACAGGGTCGACCTTGCCAGCATTTGTGAGCTGTGGCTCACAATGATGTATAGAGAGACAGTTTCTGGGTTGATTTGCTAAGCTCGGCATGATACGGCAATTGCCAGTTGTTTGCCAGTTGTTGAAGGTGTAGTCTTGCATTTCTGGTGACAGCAAACCTCAATGCATGCACTTGGCCTGCTCTTTTCCACGTGACATGATCGTTTGCATCGGCCAAGTCACCCCATTCGTCGCCCGCCATGCTAAGTCCGGGGTGCTGCCAATGGGCGCACCTTCCTTCAGACCCGCCGCGGAAGGCTCCGCGAAAAGTGCGGCTGACGGTGAAGGCCCCGGCGGCTTGTGTGGTCTTCGGTCTGGGGTGTCGCGGGTGTCGCTACCGGCGGCTCGTTGCGCGGCCGCGGCCGGCGCGGCTGCGGACACTGCGGACACCGCGGACGCTGCGCTGCGCGGTGTCCACGGCTCCAGCCCCGACACCCGCGGCACAGGCGGAGAAGGAGCCGTGGCTGCGCAGATATTTGGTGGAGGCCAAGGCTTCAGGGCTGCAGCGAATGCATGAGCTGTTCTTGGATGCTGTCCAAGAGAAAGGCCTCAAGCTCTATCCCAAGCAGTTTGAGGCCATCGAGCAAGTTTTTGGCCACTGCCATGTGGTGCTGAACACGCCCACTGGTAGCGGCAAGTCCTTGGTTGCCACTGCCATGCTTTTCCGAGCTGCTTGCGAGCGCAAGCGAGCTTATTACACATGTCCTGTGAAAGCTTTGGTGAGCGAGAAATTCTTCGCCCTGTGTAAAGACTTTGGGTCACAGTTGGTGGGGATGGCGACAGGCGATGTTTCCATCAACTCTCAAGCTCCCGTCGTTTGCTGCACTGCCGAAGTTTTGGCCAATGTTGCCCTCAGGGAGGGCGAATCTGCCACGCTGAGCTATGCTGTCATGGACGAGTTCCATTTCTACGCGGATCGAGGGCGAGGCTATGCATGGGAAGTTCCGCTGTTCCGACTGCCTCAGGTGACATTTCTGCTCATGTCTGCGACAATGGGAGAGAACCCTGAGCTCTATGCCAATGTGCGGGCCTATACTGGTAGAGAGGTACACCTGGTGAATTCCGAAGACCGCCCTGTGCCCTTGGACTGGTCTTACTCATTCAAGACCCAGAGCTTGACTTAGCCTTGGGTTTTTCAACCTTCAGAACCCCTTTGCGGGTTTCCATCCTGATCATCCCATCAACCACCTAAACAGCTTTTATTAATGGTGTTTGTGTTGGTTGTGATGCCTTTTCTCCTTTTGGGTTTCCATCCTTGGACCCTTGTCCCATAGAGCCACTGAAACATGGACTTTTGAGGACGGTTTCGTGGTTTGTTTTCCTAGTAACTCACCAGAATGAGAATGGTGGGGCTCCCCAATCTTGGAAGACCATCAAAATAGATGCCAGCACCCCCATTAACTGCTTCTTCCCGTCCAAAATCCCAAGTACTGTCCCAAAAGAAGTGGTTGGGGGCTGCTGGTGGTGGGATTCTTTTTGCTAAAGGCTCGTCCCGATGTTTGTCCACCCCGTTCAGGAGCGTGAGGGACGCCATTCTGGACTTGGTCTCCCAGAAGCGGTCGCCGGTGTATGTCGTGAGCTTCACGCAGCAGGAGAAAAGCTCGCTTCGCGTACGGCAACTGCCGGTCCTTTGGTCGGGTGGGTTTCTTTTGACAGAATTATGTAGTTGAGTTGCTAGTGTGTCAACCAGTATTCATAAGGTTTCATTTGCAATTGGTGTCCATGCACGGAACACCCGTCGTGATATACCAAGTTGGTGGTCGACTTTCACCAGCCAATCCACCGCAAAGCCGGAGCTTTGAGAAGTTAGATGGTAGAGAAGTTAGATGTTAGTGGTGGCTTCGGACACGCAAACTTTGTCAACGAAAGGCAGTTTTCAAAGTTTTCTGTACTACCCCGTGCCATTTTCTCCTAAGTGGTGATGTTTCAAGAGGTTTGGCGTCTCGCGGTTGCTCGACCTGTGACAAATGGGTTGTGAGTTGTTCACCTTTGTTGAGGTGGACCTGACGACCCGGAAGTGCTGTGTGTGTGTGTGTGTGTTGTTTTCTGGTTGGAACACCTTTCGTAGGCCAAATTGTTCCTCATGAGCAAGCGAGTTTGCCAAATTTGGTTTCTGCGCGTCCATGTTTCTTGGTGGTCTCTGCCTTCTGTCCGCGTCCATGTCAGAAAGAGGGAAATCAAACCCGCACCGCTTTTGCCTTTTTGTTTGATGGTTCAGTAAGAAGCAATCACCCCCCCAGAACGGTTCCCTTTTCCTACCAGAGTCACTGCGCAGGGTCCCTGGAGTGAGTAACAATCAGTTAGCACACCATTTCCTGTGTGGCATTTCAACACGTGTGCTAACTGTAGTACCTTGGGTGTGTCGTTTTTCAGGAACCCCCCCCAAAAAAAACAGTGGTGTGGTTTTCCTTTTGCTTTCCCTTTCCCACTAAAAAAGGGGGCACCAACTCGGGGGGCACGGCCCAAGCCGGAGATCAGGACGCGGCCACCTTGGCGCAGTCGCTGGTGGCCAAGGAGTTTGCGCCCACGGCCGAGGAGAAGCTGCGGAACGCCGAGGCGGGGCTTTGCGGAGGCGGCGCTTGGTGCTGAGACTGAGTGTCTTGTTTGAGGCTCATTTAATTTTTAAAAAACCCCTCCCATTGTCGGCTTCCATGAGTTGTTGGTAGGTCCCCTTGAGGCTGAACATGGGACTCACACCCTGGACTCACCGAAACGGCCCGAAATACATTCCCGGTAATTACATTTTGCCGATACAAAGGAACTGCTACGGGGCAGTGTTTCCGTACCATATGGCTGCTCGGATGCAGCGAGCAGAAGCGACTGCCCTTCTGGAGGGTTATGCTTGCGCTCGGTGTTTCCGTGGAAGCCCGATGACCCTGGAATGAGCTCGAGGGCGCAGTGTTGCTCTTAAAGTAAACCACGTCCTCTAAGCGACCCCGTTCAGCTAACCAGTAGTCAATCTAACCAGTAGAAATACTGAATCAACACTTGAAAAGGCCTTTGCTCTTTTTGAATTTTGCACAACCTCTCCAGGTTCTCAAAAGCAAGGTATCACAAATGAGGACCATCCTGGCTTATTCCCACAATTCTGAGAGCGTCTGACCCTTAAGAAAGGAGCGGGTTTTCTTTAAGTGCGGTCGGGATGTTAAAGGATGAAATATATGGAACCTGGAAAACTGAACTGGACATGGAATTGTCTGTAGCCAACCAGCCAACCCGTTGGGGCAACACGTTCAATTGGCCTTCTTTCAGTTTCTGGTTGGCGCGAATCCGCTAAGTGACAAAGTGCCCGTTGTCCGACAATCTTTGAAGAGGACAAATAAATATGCCTTTTCAAGGGGATGGTTGTTTTTCAACAGCCCGTCCATTTTCATGTGGCTGTGGGTCAAAACCAATGGTACCATTTTGGAGTAGGTGCACCACTCATGTTAGAACCTATTTTAGTGGTTGGATTGGGATGTTCACTGGGGGTAACCGATTTGGCTTTTGACCCATGGCCAAAGTGTCTCAAATGGCACTCTCCATGCACGAGGCCCTCAGATCCACGAGCTTCGATTCCCCCTACGGGGACTCCATCCGGGCGCTGCTTTTGAATGGCATCGGCCTCCATCATGCCGGCCTGCTGCCCAAGTACCGGCGCCTTTCTCGGGTTCTTTGGACATCGTTTGGAGTGTTTCCAGAATGGGGAGTTCCTTTTGGACGGAAGTTGCCATGTTTGGAGTAATACATGAATAAAAAAATAAATATATATATATATATATACAGGAATATATGTGTATATTATTACCGAAATGGGGAAGCTACTTTTTGGGTGGTTTTGGAAGAACATCAAAGGACACCAGCCACTTTTCGGGTTCATATTTCAGGACACATTCGGACTTGACGGGCTTTCTCAATTCACATGCACGCTTTTTTGGTTGAGCGGAATCTATACCAAAAAAAAAACATGATTTACAGGCTGGCAGGAAACTACCAAACGGTGGATGAGGGACATTGATAGCAACATCGCAACAGTCCAAGCTACAAGGCCATGATGAATGACGGATTGGGAAAGGCAGGGTCCAAGGTCAAGATGCTGGACTGAATCACAGGCACAATTGCTTGGTGGTGGTGGTCGTGGCAGCCTGAACGCGGGTTTTGTATGTTTGTTGCTACTGCTGTTGTTTGTTTCTTGGTGTTTGTTTGTTGTTGTTGTTTTTGCTGTGTGCTGCTTGCTGCCGCTGCCCCTGCTGTGTGCGGAGTGTGGTTTGTTGTTTGCGTGTTTGTGTGTTTGTTTTGCCGGCTGGCTGGCTGGCTGGTTGCATGGTTTGATTCGGGTTGTTCTTGCTGTTTGTGTTGCTGCTGTCAACTGTTGTTTGTTGTTGCTGATGTTGCTGCCGCTGCCGCTGTGCTGCTGCCGCTGCTGCTGCTGAAGCTGCTGCTGCTGCCGCTGCTGCTGCTGGTTGCCGCTGCCGCTGCCGCTGCTGCTGCTGCTGCTGCTGCTGCTGCTGCTGCTGCTGAAGCTGCTGCTGCTGCCGCTGCTGCTGCTGGTTGCCGCTGCCGCTGCCGCTGCTGCTGCTGCTGCTGCTGCTGCTGAAGCTGCTGCTGCTGCTGCCGCTGCTGCTGCTGGTTGCCGCTGCCGCTGCCGCTGCCGCTGCCGCTGCCGCTGCCGCTGCTGCTGCTGCTGCTGCTGTTGGTTTCGCTTATTGTGGTGGGGTCGTCAAGCTCGTTGATAGAAAGGACAGGGCCAACAAGATTCCGCAGCGGTCACTCTCCGAAAAGTTCAGACGCGGCCGAAGGCTCCTGGTGGAGCAGATGGCCCAGAACGGACTTCTGACCTGCATTTGTGGCACCGACACCTTGGGGGTGGGGGTGAATGTGCCTCTACGAAGTTGGGCTGATACCTGCTTGTCTTTCGGAAATTTGCGAGCGGGGATGTTTTCCTTCGAACTGTGTGTGTGCGTGTGCTAACTTTCTCCATGAGAAGCCATTGTGCAAGGTGCCAATTCGAAGCGTCCTCTTCACCCAGCTCTGCAAGTATAACGGCGAGATCACGCCGCTGGGCTTTACCCGGCAACCTCATTGCTGACGTTTGCCCGCCTTGTGACAGTGTGGATTTTATTGGAGGTCAATCTTCCCGGATGTCAGCATGTTGCTGTGTCGTGCTCGCAAACTTCAGGATGGGGGGTTTTTGGTTTCGCGCTTTGGGTCTGAGTTGGGATGTGCTTTTGGGAGGGGAGGGGGTGCAACTCACACTTTTGGATGGGGGTTTGGTAGATGTTGCCCATCCACATGATGCTTCTCCAAATAGGGGCTTTTGATTGCACTCCAGTTTGGCTTGTAAGAGGAAACAGGAAATGGACCACCTCCTAGATTAATTTTGCGAGGTGCTACATAGCTTAATCTTTCCCAAGACACCAAAAGGGGGGTGGGCAAACTTTGGTGACTTTTCGCCGGGCAAGAAAACATGGCTTGAGAAAGCAAGAACGGTTTGCCCCAAACCAGAAGGGAAGAACAACCCATGTGTCCCCCAGTTTGAGGAACACCCATCCCCTTCGGGCGCCCTCGGCGGCCTAGCCGAGGGCGCTACTCTCTGCCCGGGACTTCCATCAGATCGCAGGGCGCGCGGGGCGCAAAGGCTTCGACACCGAAGGCTCCGTGGTGGCGGTGCCGCCGCCCCACGAGGTCTACAACCTGCAGCTGGAGAAGGACACATTTCTCTAGGGGTCGATTCCCCATTCTTTGCAACCATCATTCTTTTCGGAAACCAGCTGTTTCCCCAGGGTTTTGGGTGGTTTTGTAGAAAGAAGGATGCCTGGAAAGAATGGGGAAGGTACCCCTAGAATTTCAAAGCACGTTGGCATGGTCTTTTGGGCAGTTGGTACCCTCGAGGTTGGCAAAAAGAGAACCCAAAAGGAAGGCACGGCCCTTTGGAGGGGTCGCTTTGCCCACCTACCCAGTTCAGTGGCGCTCAGATGAAAACATTTTTCCGTTTTGGTGAGTTCTCCCAGAAAAGCAGTTGCTGAATAGCTGGGGGGGAAGGCTGCACAAGATATTTCTCAAACTTAGGGACCCCGGGCCCAGCTGGTTGTGATCCCTTTCATTTACTAGTTGGTGCCATTGTTTGGGGGTCGTTTTAAGGGACAAGTGAAGTTGGCACCAGAATCTTTTGGGCTTGTCGGCAAACTTTCTGGGGGTGGAATGGGCAACCAAAGGGCACCCACCCTTTGCGGGGTTGAAACCAGGTGGGTTGTACATTTGAACCGAGCCCCACAAGGACGTTGACTAAACAAATGGTGAAACAAGAAATCTGCAAATTGGCTTATAAAGCAAACATGGGTATAAACCAGCTGGTGAAATGCCTTTTTCGAGCTGGTGTCAAAGGGAAACCAAAGGGACACCACCCGATTTTTCAAGGGCTTCCCCATTTGGGTATGAGTTTCAAAAGCCAAAGGGACACTAGGCAGCAATGTTCGATTAGGCAACCCTGGAGTGTTCCCTCCAATAAAGTGGTCCGGATCTCTAAAATGGGACACCTTTCCATCAAAATCAACCAGCTTGGGTTACTGCGAATTTCCAGGATTCCGAGCCAGCAGTTGAGTAGAACACAGATGCTTTGTTTGGCTTCCCTTGACGGGACCCCATTTTCCGGGGTTTCAGGATCTTGGGTCTGGGGAGCAGACTTGGATTTGTGTCCAACAGCTTAGAGGGGGGGCTCATTGAAATTCTAGTCAAGGTGTTTCTTCTTGGGGGAACCTCCTGTTGGTGGTTTTCAAGGGACACCTCTGCTACTCTACTACTTCTTGAACCCCTTCTACTGCTCTTTAAAGCTCTCATTACACTTTAAGTTGTCACAACCACCTTGACCCTTCGCACTGCCCCAAGTGATCTCGCCTTCTCCTTGTGGTTGGCAGGAGATCCAGGCCGCGCCCAGCAAGAAGGAGAAAGAGCGCCTGAAGCGCCGACTGAGGTCTCCCAAAGGGAACTTCGTCCAGTGGAACCAGGCGCCATGGAACCCGGTTAGCAGGGTTGGTGCAAACAATGGTTTTAAACAACCAGTTCCTGGAAAGGCCAAAGATGAATGCACACGCCCCTTCCTGGGCGCAAACATATGTATACAATGGAATACCGTGATTGCCACATTGAATATTGAGATTAGGTTGTGACATGCATATTTTACATCAACGAGTGAAACCCATGGCCAGACAAGTGTGCCCAGGGCTTCTACTTTCGGGTTGAAGTGTTCAGGATAAGCCTGGGATCTGAGCGCCTTGAGATGGGATTCTTGTCGGCCCCGCGCTCTGTTCATGTCCATCCGAATCGGTCGCGGCGAATTGGTGGCGAATCTGTCAGGAGACCTTCGAAGAGCTGAGCCAGGCGTCGCCGGAGGCTTTGAGGTCCCAATTTCAGCTGAGCCAAGGCGCGGCTGAAGTTTGGGCGTGGGGGTGAGTAGTTCATGACCCGAGTGACACGTGTTTTGACCTGGACACTTCCTGTAAAGTCGAGGAAAACTCCTGACGAATCGGCGCTAGGTGTCGAAAGCAGCTTGTGGTAGTCCCTTGTCAAACTTGTCTGTGCAATCAGAGTATTTGAATTCGACATGATCTTTATACTCTTGCTACAGTGGAGGTGATCATATCTGACCTCCGATGTCAACTCCAACATGGCAGCTTGTGGTAGTCGTGTCCCTGACAACACTCATGGAAGCCGACAAGAAGCTTGGATCTCTTGCGAATACTACTTTTGTTTCAAAACGACCTCTCTATGCTTCCCTTCTTGGAGGAGGTGTGTGCAGTGGCAACAAAGTCATTTCCAAGAATTCAGGCTTTGTTGCGTGTGTGTTTGGGGAATTTGTAAGTCAGGGACTATATCCTTGGTGGTCAAATCTTATTTTGGGAGGACACATGGGGGCCACCCATAAAGTCTCACGCAAAGCCAAACGGAACACCCAATTTTCCCATGTCCTTTTGGGGAATTATTCACATATCAAGTTGAATGGGCTTGAGCGGTGGGAGGTAGAGCAGTAAGGTAAGTTCCTCCCAGCCGGATATGGGTTTGCGTGAACATTAGCTGCAAAATGGTACCACTTTCCTCGAGTTGGTCCTTTCCAACCAACCGAGAAAAAAGAAAACACAACTAAACTCTAGGGGTACCTTCCCCATTCTTTCCAGGGATCTTTCTTTCTAGAAAACCTCCGGAAACCCAGGGAAAATAGCTGGGTTTTGAAGAGCACGATGGTTGAAAAGAATGGGGAATCAAGCCCTAGACAACCCTAAACCCTTTGCAAAGGGTTCTATCGCAGACTCAGCCATTTGGCAGGCCGTTCTTTTGGGGTACTGGGATGCCGACGAATCGACGAAGCCAGGCCACGTGCTGAGCTTGCTGCAGGGCGCGCAGGAGCACGACCGTGACGGGCGCCAGGCGGGGCCTTTGGCTGGCCCGAGCTTTAAAGGGAAACCAAGAAGAAACTATCATCCTTAAAGTAGGGCTTCCACAATTTTAAGACAAAACATGTGGTCGGGGTGGCCTCAATTCACCAAGTAACAAAGGTCCCTTTAAGAAATAGATGCACCCAATTGGTCCTTGGTTTCTCCACAGGTTTCCGTTTTAAATCATCTTCCAAAGGCTGCCGTTTTGTGCTCCATGACCACGTGGGGTCTGGGTTGCGTTGTGTTCAGATTAGAACCATTCAGGAAAGGTGCGAGTGCATACGAGACTCCAAGTCGAATTGGCAGGCATGCGAACTTGCGCCTCGAAGTGCAGCGGATCTCAACTCTTCATTGTTCAAATCATCCACATTCTCAGCAGCTGCGTTTGCCCGTCACCGGAGTCCGGTTGGAAACAAAGGGCTTGTTTTAGCCTCCCCCTTGCAGATGGACACGCTCTAAAGGAACTCTACTCAAAACCAAGGTTGCCTGGGCCAGCTGTCCGTATTGTTCACAAAAGTCAAGGGCCTTGGCATGTTTTCCATAGATTTTCCAAACAGTCACGGGGCTTTGAATGCAACTTACCATAGTTCCACCTCAATCATAGATGAGCTGCGTATGGCTCTGCCGGAGGAGCTGGACCAGTTGATCGGCCTCTCGCTGTGCGGCTTAGATTAGAAGCAACAGGTTGGTGTTTCTGCCATGGGAATTGTTGGTTTCTCTCGTGGGGGGAGGGTCGTTTTTGTCTGGCCCATAAACCATTCACCAGTTTTTTGGCCAACACTCGGGTGAGGGGCGAGTCAGGAAACAGAGTCAGGAAACGGGTTGGACGAAGTCAGGAAACGGGTGGGTCCAAGTCAGGAAACAGGTTGAGTCGTGTCAAGAAAATATGGAGGTGAGTCAAGAAACGGCCCCGGAAACAGCAGGAACCGCATGTTGGAGAGTTGTGAAAGGTTTGGAGTCAAGTGATTAAGGTTTCGCGAGTCAGGAAACGACTATCGTAAGTCAGGAAACGACCCCAGAAACGACAGGAACAGCGTGCCGGGGCCCTCTCAAAAGTTTCGGGTCAAGTGAACAAGGTTTGGTGACCAGGAAACGACTGTGAGTCAGGAAACGACGCCGAAACGACAGGAACAGGGCCATTGTTCGGCTTCATGGTTCTCGTTTCTATATTCGCGCGATGTAAAAGCTTCTTGAACGTTTGTTCTAATGGGGGGGCTGCTCCCCCCCCAACCCCCCCTGCTTCTTTATAGGGCCGTTGTGCGACTTTGCGATTCTGTTGTGCAATCACGCACATTGTTCCAATAGTGTCTTGATTTGTTGTTCTACTGAGGGGGGACAGCCCCCCCCCTCCCAACCCCCCGCTTCCTTGTAGACGCTGAGAAACTAAACCTAAACCCTATCCCCTAAACACCTAAACCTAACCTTCAGAACCCTAAACCTAAACCCTGAGAACCCTAAGCCTGAGCCCTAAAAACTTTAAACATGCCCCCCCTCTCCCCTGATTCGAACAGCTTTGCACGCCAGGTTGTTCCTTGATCCGAGCCATGACGATATCAAGGAACGATGCACGAAGCACTCGTCAGAGCGCAAAGCACGCAGTACCAGACTTGCATCCCAGCATCACCGCCAATTCAAAAGCACTGACGACATCATGTTTGAATCGCGTTTTCTGACTCACGTTTCCGCGTTTCCTGACTCACGTTTGCTGTTGTGATCTAAATATTTATCACTTTCATTCTTGACTTGCCTCCAGTTGTTTCTTGACTCGCCCCTGTCCATTTCTTGACTCATGTTTCCTGACACGGTCATTTGTTTCTTGACTCGGTCTAGTCTCAACAAACCAACAGGGAGCAAAAGCACAAGCTTTGAGGGTGGAGAAACGAACTTTACTGCTGAGCCGCTCGGGAGTCAGGGAACTGAAACCATCAGGATAAACCATACCAATAGAACCACCACGCCAGGGAAACACCAAGCATCCACTGCAACGCCTTTTTCAACTTAGGCGGCAAGAAGCAGAAGGAGCACTGGACCTCGCAGGTAGAGCTCTACATCAAGGCACTCTCCGCTGCTGGCCTCGTGGAACATCAAAACGGGGACTTGAAAGTGGAGACGACCTTGCAGAGGGATTTCTTACTCATGGAGGAGCCTGGAATCCAGGGTGTCTTTGTTTTTGTTTGACGTCCCCCCAAAAGAGAAATCATAATGTTTACTCGAGGTGGTTGATTTGCCCCACGACGAACCTTGAGGGTTGTTCCTTTTTGTTGCCATTCCCAAGGTGCTTGATTTCACCTAGAAGATGAACCCCCCAACCGAGCCCCATTTCTTTCAAGGCAGAAGGCAAGGAAGCAGGATGTCTAAATTGACAGTGAACCAGTATTGCTTCCCAGCGTGAAAAGTGTCTTATTGAAAAGTGTCCATTCACTTCGGAGATCCCTGCCAGGATGTCTCCCTTTTCCTGGTGGACCTCTTGCCACTGCTGCAATGGACTTACTCCGCAGAGCCTCTGAAGTTGGCGAGAGCCGTGCTTTCCGTGGTGGAAGCCGTTTGTGAAGGGCCAATTCCGGTGTTGCGCGCGCAGGCCGGGATGCGTGTGAATTCGTTGGGGCTGGGGAACTGATCTACATCACGCATCCTTTGTTCACCTCAGAGGCCCCAAGCAGCCAAACACAGATCCGCACTTGAAACTTCAACTTCTCTTGGCCAAAGCTCCTGGGTGCGTTCTCCACTCTTGGGACAGTTACTGAGGCACCAGGCTCGGAGACCTCTTTTGAGGGCACCCATGACGTGGGGTGCACCCAGCAAATTGCTATCGGGGAATAGAGGGTACTCACCAACATCCAATGTCATTGGGGCGGAAACAAACAATATTGACCGTGGCTCATGTATGCAATCTGCGATCGGAGGCAAACACGCCCATGCTTGGTTTGTTTGGTGCGGAAGGCGCAATCCATCCCAGCCACCTGTGCCAAGCTTTCCACAGGTTGTGTGTATAAAGGTATGCTTTAAGGTCTTCTTCCGGTATGCAAGCAAGCCCTGTCACGGACAGATACGGCCAGAAAGGCATGGCCTGGCATTTTTTTTGTCTCATTCATTGTTCAACTTACCCCGGTCTTCTCCAGCTCGTTCGCTGGAAACTCTGAGGCATCAGCGCCTTTAGTCTAACGAATGGCCACTCCAGTGGTTCCTCGCGTTCTTGTTCTTGGAAGCCCCTGGGGTTCCACATTGGCTCGGCAAAAAAAAAGAGGCGGCTTTAGCCTGCCTCATATTTGCTTGTGGATGGACAAAGCGTCCTGCACCAGGTAGGTGGTTTATCAACCAGTCTTTATGGGGTTTCATCCATCCCAACCAATGCTGCAAGTAGAGTTTGTCTATTTATCGTATCCCCCTTCCTGTGACAGGCCCGCGTGAAGGGACGCAAGGAGCCTCGGCTTCCATGCGAAGACCTGGTGATGCCGGCCTACGATGCCTTCCTTAAGAGGCCCCAGTCCTTTGGAGACCTCATACGGTTCCTTTAAAATGTGTATGTGTTGAAGCTGATGGGTATGCTAAAATTGTCCCAAAGGATTCGGAAGAACCACCCTGCAAGGCACCCTTGGGTAGATCGAGATGCCTTGCAACCAAAAGCGATCGCGCTGGAGATGTACGATGACCACTTGTCCTTCAACGACTTTCTGAAGCAACTGAGCCGCGTGGACAAGACGAAGCGGTCCACGCGGCAAGAAGGTCTTTTGCTGCGATACCTGTCCCAGGTCCACAAGACCATGAGGCACGACAGGGATCACGTTTTCGATCACAAATTCCCTGCATTCTTCATTTTCCCCAAATTTTGACGCTTGTCAATACTTTGGGCTTGGAAAAAAGAAAAAGATGATTGCGAGCCAGGCATAATATCCCGGATGAGTTCAAGTCAGAAGAGGTGCTCGAGATCGAGGCCTATTTGTTGGCGGTGATCAACAGCACGGACTCCAGCCTGCTCCGGGAGTGGGAGGCGCTCAAGGCGCTTGGCTGGAGCCCTGCCAATCTTCGCCCGGACTTTTAAGCTACCCTCCCAAGAATCAGCATAGAACCTGCACAGGGGTTCCTGAAAGTCCGTGGTCCTTTCGCGGGCACCCCAGTGCGGGTTGGCATGTTTGTTTTGGGGAGAATATATATTTTTGGACGATGACACAAAGCTTGAAGTGTTTGAGCAGTTGGCTCGAACAACAGCAAGAGCACTTTCTAAGTAGCTATAGCTTTTGGCGCGCATGATCAATTGCTTGCTCGCGCATCGATATTGGGAATGCCCCTGGTTAAAACCTCTTCAACTTGGCTCCAGGTGCTGGAATCGATGGACTTTGAGAGCAACCCGGAAGCAGCTTCGGCATTGGCTGAGAGGCGCGATTGCTTGGGGATGGTTTGGCGTCGAAAGTTTTCGGGGAGGATGATAAAAATGCCCGCACAATTTACCCACCAAATCTGGGGGCGCCACACAAGCTTCACTTGTACTCTTGAGTTTGCGAATATTATATCCTCCGTGGTCCAATGCTCCAAACACACCTGGAGCCACGGTTTCTGGTTGGTTTCTTGGGGGGGGCTTTGTGTGGTCCTAATTGTTTAGATGCATTCCCACATGACCATTGACCAGAAAAGAAACACACAGATGATCATTGCCTGGTGCGCAAACTACCTGCAGTTCATCAGGCGGCCATTGGCAGTTCGTGAGTTTACAAGTTATCTATTCAGGCAACCATTGTTTGAAGGCCAATGTGATCCAGTTACCACTGTTTGATTGAAACTGGCAGAAAGAACACATTTTCGTGGCACTGGCAACATAATGACATAAGCGGCGACAACCGCAGCTGTCAGATTGTTCTTGCACCAGATTCGATGGAGAGTATTAGAGCATGACCTCTATATCTTGGGTTCCTAGGCATAGTCATGAACTTGGTTGTGGGGAACTAAACAACCATGCTGGGGATGCCAATTAGGGGAACCATGACCACGATCCCAGGAGTTTTGGCCGCACAGGTAAGAATGACTCTTCCTTGTTGGTCAACACGCAACTGTGCTTTTCTGACATGGCGCGGTACTTTTACAAGTACCAGAAGCAAGCAAGCTCAGGGCCCGTCAGCTGGAATGCTTGCAACCAGGTGCTTTTTGCTCGTCATTTTCCTTCAAAAACAACCCCTCTATATTTTCCTTGTCATGATCTTGAAGTGGGCGCACCCACCTATCATCAGCCTAACCAGAATCCCATGTCAAGAGCTTCCTTCCATGAACCTCTGACATTTCTTGGCATCAGGCCAATTTTTGATGAAACCGCTCGTTTCCAAAACAGGTTGCTTTGTCGGATGCTTGTCAACGATGCCCATTTGATCTTGCCTTCAAGACAATTGCAGTGATTGCTGGCCCATGCTGCAAAGTCCAATGACCGACAAATTCCCGTGAAGAGCGGGTAGAAGGGGATCATCCCATGCAACCGCAAATTTGAAAGCTGGAAACTGACGATCTGTTGTGAGGGCTGGCAATAACAATTTATCTTGAGTTGCACGTCTTGCCTTCTTCCGGTCTCCCGAATCAAAAGGCTATGTTGATCTCCACATTCACATAGACCGACACATCTCGAGTTGCGCAACGGGACGCCTTGCTAATAAAGAAAGCAACCTTCAGCAATGCCAGCACCCCTGAACGACCGCCTTTTCTCATGTCCAAAATCCAAAGTACTGTCCAAAACGCAGTGGTTGGGGGGGGTCCAAATGACGGATATCTTTGTACCAAAGAAAGAGAGTTGAGTCACAGAAAAGCCCCACCCGCCAACCCGCCAGGAGTCTGGACGATGCCTTGCCGCTGGCTGCAGAGACGGAACTGGACTTCCGCACTCTGCGGGCGCGGGCGCGGGTGGAAACTCTGCGCTTCGCACGATACCTGGCCACAGGTCGTTGGCGGGAGGCGGCCAAGTGCCAGGCATCCAGCGGGGTTCCGCGGAGTCTGTGGTGATGGAACTTGCGTTTTTCTACAAATCGGAAGCTTGTCGTTTCGTATCCGATCCCACTATTTGCCAAGTAAAGACTTTGTACCCCAGCTGGAAGCTTTGGGTCGGTTGGAGCGGCACCAGGCTAGGGGTTCCGGCAGGGTTCGGCTTTGCTGGGCACAAATTGGGCATTGGTTTCTTTGAGGTTCTTTTGGTGGTCGCCATCTCCCAAAATGACAGCAGACTAGCTCCGTCACTCACGCATTTCCCAATCAAAACAGAAAACAGACACCGAATTGTTGGAAATGCTGCTTTCCCCCCCCCCCCTCCCCCCCCCCCAAAAAAAAAAAGCAGGCTTGATTTCCTGTTGTGGCAGTAAGAACAGCAATTGCGTCTTGCTCATGTGTGACGGTCCAAAGGCCAGATAGGCATGGTCATCAACCCTTTAGCAAGGAATTGGACAATCATTGCCAGGGTTTCTATTGAGGAAACCATGACCATGACCTGCAGGAGTTTGGACGTGGCATCAAAATTGGGGATCATTTTGTGGCTGATTTCCGATAGCTTCGCTTTCATACCTCTTTTTCAGGGGTTCCCCATTTTGAGACCCGCCCCTATGTTTCACGAATCTGTGTGTATTGATCCGGAACTGTGTGTAACGTGTAGAGATAGGCTGCTTGGTTTAGTTTGGGAAATGGTTAACCTGCTAAAAGGTGTGAGCCCTCTTCTCCTTCTGGTTGGTGACTATCCAAAGGAAGCTGAAAGGAACCCCAGCATTTGGGGGTGTTGAACATTGTGCTGCATGGGTCCCCCTGCTCTTCTGGAAGACCACATGGCTGTTGAAGCATCCAGGGCAGCAGACCTAGCCACATGCTTGTGCTGAAGGTACCCTTTCCGAGGTTGGTTGACAGAGAAGCCGAAGGGCAACCACCTATTTTTGTTGGGGTTCTCCAGCCACAGTGTTGAGGCGGCACAAGAGGAAGCCAACTAGCCCTCATAAAATCCGGCCAAGTTTCAGAGATGATCCCAGCAAGAATGTACCAACCAGGGAAGAAGGTCTGTCCTCAAGAACACTAGCAACGCCAATGGACACATTCCTTCTCGTGAGTCTCAAGCATGTTTGTGTGTTTGGATAGAGCACGTTGTGTTCCGTGCAAGCAGCGGGGAGGGACCCGACCTGTGCTTCCCAACCTGGCCATCCCGACCCAATCCTAGACAAAGCTTGGTGTGTAGGTGTATATGCGTGGTAGTCGGTTGCCTGCATGAAAAATTGAATATGATTTGTTGTAAGAGCGGGGAACGCATTACCATTTGTTGAAACATGATCAAGCCAGTGGAGGTCACCCTCCTTGCTCGTTCCAACGTGTCCAGGCCGAGTCAGAAGACTGGAACGAGGAAACCATCCGAGCCGCTGCGATCGCTGGCGGTCGTCGGCCCATAGCAAAAGCGGAGTTCAGCATTGAAGTGGTGATAGAAGACATGGACAACGGCTTCCAAGTCTACTGCGAGATACTGGACGAGTCAAAGGGGTCTTCCCTTTGGCTTGAATTTGCAGCTCTTGTCCCTTGGACATTGAACAGCTTCGAAGCGTTTCTGCAGCTGCAATCCATCGATTAAAAACAAAGCTTCGGCGTTGTCGATGTCAATGACCTCCCGTGGTTTTGGTGCAGTCATCAGCGGGGAATGCCATGTCAAACAATGCCAAAGGAGCGAAGGTGTCAAGCTTTTTGAAGCCGTGTACATGGGGCAGCCGCTGCGACCAACAAAGTTCTTCTGGCCTTTCCCCCTCGCATCATGCCTGTCTACGGAATATGTTGAGTCTTTGCGGTTGAATCTCTCAATCCAAGCTTTTATCATTGCAGGACACAAGTCACCGTGTTTTTTTTTTGTTTAATGAATGAGCGATCAGAATGAGGTTTAAGAGCGAACTATATAATATGTATATAAATGCAACAGGTCAGTGCAAAGTCCAAGGAAGTAGCACGAATCTGCTCGTTTGTGTCGTTTGGCCACATGCAATGGATCCATTGAGTGTTCACAATCGGCGTTCGGCAGTCTCGGTCGGTGGCACGGTTGGTTGGTTAGTGAGATTGGTAAGTCATCCGCTGTTACAACTCCACAAACAGACAAACAAGTAAACCAAGCGTTTCCAAAGTGAAACCATAGACGAGTAAAAAGCACAAAACAAATGAGAGAAACTACTGGCGGCATCGTGCCAGTATCCTGGACTTCCAAGAGAGGTCTTCACGGTGAACACTGCTCTAGTTGCTGGAATGAGGTGCAGCCGGCACCCGCAGCATTTGTCACACCTCAAGCTGAACAATAGAATGCCCACATGAACAGATACACAGCACTTTGGCAGAACAAGTCAGACCATTGCCTGAAGATTAGTGTATAGGGCCATTGTGATGTCTTTGCTGCGTTTGATGGCATATTTCCTGCAGATGATTCGAACTATCCCACGACATGTGTCATCCCTCTAGGATATCGCAGCAATAGATTTGTACAGGTTTGCCTTTCCAGCTGTCACCTGATGGGGCGGGAAGGTGATGTCTGTCCGCAGCCAAGTCGACTCAGGCATTTCCAAGCCAATCATTCTGCAATTTGTGCAACTACTCTCTGCAAGAGGTTAGATCAGGGTTCAGCCCCAGAGGGGCTGAAGCAGGTTACCCCCAACAGATAGAGCCC